GGTCTTTATAACCAGACTACAAGCTAAGGTGGTGCTAACTAGCTATAATTATGAGGTCTTTATAACCAGACTAAAGCTAAGTTGGTGCTAACTAGCTATAATTATGAGGTCTTTATAACCAGACTAAAGCTAAGGTGGTGCTAACTAGCTATAATTATGAGGTCTTTATAACCAGACTACAAGCTAAGGTGGTGCTAACTAGCTGTAATTATGAGGAAAAGTTGAAATATCTGAAAGTTAGCTAAGAAAGTGATGGAAAACATTTTTGAAAGAATGTAGTTACCCTGCATAGCGACTGATAAAAATTTTTAAGAGGTTCAAGAGAAAAGGCACTTTCTTTTCCTATTTTCACCACCTTCAGAAAACTAACTTATTGCACTATTTTATTTGATCCTATGACTTATATTGATTGTATGTAGATCAGTATAAGATATGAAGAATGCATTAAGAAAATCTTTAATGTGTCTTTTCTTCATGGGGATATCACCCTTCCAGTGTGGAACCTCTGTTAAGGTAGTCATCGCTAGTTAAGTGCATTGTCCATAAACTGTAAAATTTACCAGAACTATAGTGTTCAAATATGTAACCTTATATAGAGACAGGTAAGAAATGTTACTAATTGTACAACTTTCTTTTATTATTTACGTTACATAGATAGGTAAGAAATTGTTTTTATGTTTTCCATCTCTCCTATATTTCTCCACATCAGACATGTAAGATTTTCCTCCGCCTGTAAAAATCTGTTATAAGTATATTGGTGCTTCTTTTCTCTGAACTTGTCTTTCTAACTGTTGGGAGTTAGGGTCTTTATCAGATGTTTTGGTCATTTACAAATATATTTTTGTGTTTCTAAGTGTAGTTACCTTTGAAGGTTTATTTCTTTTAAAATTGTACCGTTTTTCTGATTTGTTTGATTCAACTATGAACTCTGATTTTCTTGAGTTGAAGGTTTTTGTTTTCAAGGAAGATAATATATTTTTTTCCTTTTGTTTCTTTTAAACTGAAGAGTCAATTGTGAGACTTCTTAAACGTCATTACCATGGTGAATCAGACATTGTATAAACGGCATTACAATGGTGAATCAGACATTGTATAAACGTCATTACCATGGTGAATCAGACATTGTGTAAACGTCATTACCATGGTGAATCAGCCATTGTATAAACGTCATTACCATGGTGAATCAGCCATTGTATAAACGTCATTACCATGGTGAATCAGCCATTGTATAAACGTCATTACCATGGTGAATCAGCATTTATAAAGAATATACGAGGATGTTTCCCATTTCTCATAACATTGTATACTGAACCCAATTTTATTGTAAACTCCATCTGAGTACACTTTTATTGTCAACTCCGTCTGAGTACACTTTTATTGTCAACTCCATCCGAGTACACTTTTATTGTCAACTCCATCTGAGTACACTTTTATTGTCAACTCCATCCGAGTACACTTTTATTGTCAACTCCGTCTGAGTACAGTTTTATTGTCAACTCCATCCGAGTACACTTTTATTGTCACCTCCGTCTGAGTACAGTTTTATTGTCAACTCCATCTGAGTACACTTTTATTGTCAACTCCGTCTGATTACACTTTTAATGTCAACTCCGTCTGATTACACTTTTAATGTCAACTC